AAAAAATTGGATTTATAAAATACTTTGGCTAGCGTCAAGGGGGTCGAACCAAAGAAAGAAACGAATATTATTTTAACGCTTCGGTTTCCGAGAATTCGGGGCATTACAACTTGGTATCAGAGCATGGCTTATTTTTCTGTAGACTTGCAATAGAAACCATATCTTAGGAGTGTTGTGTCACATATAAAGATGATCAAAATTCTTTTAATAAGGATCCTGAGCACTATGCCCGCCATAGCCGCGCCATGCCGATTTTGAGGTAAAAAATGTTTTATGATTATGCTTGTATCTATGTGATGATTATGGAATAGTTATTTCAGATACAACATTTGAAATGTATTTATGAATATTAATATATGTTTGAGCTGAATGCCTTTCGTGAATAATCATTATTTTGCAAAGTATTTTGAGAATGTGACCATATTAAACGTTTATTTAAGTCCTCGAAAATTAACTAAAACCTATTAGATACCCACTATTGGACTTTGAATAACTGGTAGGAATCCAATGCACAATATGTGTGAACACATTTGGGAGATGCTTGTAAGGTGGAGAGAGGTGAGACAACTAGGCTATATGGTCACTGGACGTCGGGCCACCCGCCTTCTTATCGATACCTTGCTAGAAGAGTGGCTAGAGACTGCCGAATCGATTTATGATTATTTATGGGTATTGCTGTGCCTACTTTGCCTCGAGAGATTAACTATGAGGCCTTTTGGATGGAGTTGATTGATCAGTGGGAGTTGGCCCGACTTGCGAACCCTGAGGACAATAGTGTACCTACTGAAATGTACATTCATGATGATGCACATCCATCTATTTCAGATGACGAGACACAACCTTCTAAAAAAAAAACCTAGGGTTCAAGGAGGCAGAATTTTTAAGACTGGTACAGGGAGATATCGAAATTTCCGAGTACGAGAGCAAGTTCGAGGAATTGTCCCGATATGCCCCACATCTTTTAAGTACTGAGCTAATGAAGGCAAAACGTTACGAGAGGGGCCTGCACCCAGAGATTAGGCAGATTGTGAGTTCACACGATCTCACCACTTTTCAGGCAATTATGAAGAAAGCTCAAATAGTAACCTATTCGGGTGTAAAGTTGATAAATCAGGGACAGCGTAATGACTTTGGAAAAAGGAAGTGGCAGGATAAGAATAAGAATTCTGGGCAGTTTAAGAAGCAAACAATTGTGGGCAGTCAAGTAATCCTCCATCCCAATGTCCTAAATGTAACAAGTTTCATAGAGGGGAATGTCTGTGTGGAAAGTATACTTGCTATAAGTGTGGCCAACCTGGCCATGTGATTTCCTCATGCCCATCGATTAAGAAACCTGAACAAGAGAAGAAAGGAAAAGCAAGGGTGTTTGCTCTGACTCACGATGAAGCTGCCCAAAATTCGGACGTAATCGCAGGTATTTTATCTATCTCTGGAACTCCAACTTATGTCCTTATTGATTCCGGTGCAACACATTCATTCATATCTAATGCATGTTTAGCTAAGATTAATGCTTCATGTAAGAAGAATGATAATGTACTAGAGGTTAGTCTGCCATCGGGAGGAACTATTGATACAGATAGGATAGCAACGGGAGTACAAATAAATTTTGATGGACTGATGTTAGAGGCCAACCTGTACGTTATAGAGATGAAAGAATTTGATATTATTTTAGGCATGGATTGGTTAGGTAAAAATCGAGCCACGATAGTATGTTTTGAGAAAGAGGTGATTTTTCAAAGATCGGGAGAAGATGAATTCAGATTTTATGGATCGAAGGTTAAGGCACTTCCTCGCGTCATCTCAGCTTTGAAGGCAAAAAGCATGTTGAGGAAGCCTGACTGCCAATGGTATCTTGTCAGTCTTATCGGCACCTCATCTCAAGATAAAATATTGGATGATGTGCCAATAATACGGGAGTATGCTGACATGTTTCCCGATGATCTACCGGGTATTTCGTCCGATAGACAAGTGGAATTCACGATAGATTTGGTACCTAAAGCTACTCCTATGTCCAAAACTCCATATCGAATGGCACCAAAGGAATTACAAGAGTTAAAGATGCAGCTAGAAGAACTTCTAGACAAAGGGTTTATTAGACCGAGTGTATCTCCATGGGGGGCTCCGGTACTCTTTGTAAAGAAGAAAGATGGTACTATGAGGCTGTGCATCGACTACCGTGAATTGAATAAGTTGACGATCAAAAATAAGTATCCTCTTTCTAGGATTGAAGACCTATTTGATCAGTTGAAGGGCGCATCCGTATTCTCAAAAATTGATTTAAGGTCGGGCTACCATCAACTGAAGATTAAGTCATTTGATATACCAAAAACGGCATTTAGGAGTCGGTATGGGCATTATGAGTTTACGGTGATGTCCTTTGGCTTGACGAATGCCCCTGCGATGTTTATGGACTTGATGAATAGAGTGTTCCATCAGTATTTGGACATGTTTGTCATCGTATTTATTGACGACATACTGATATATTCGAGAGATTCCCTGCAACACGAAGAACATTTGAGGATAGTTTTGAGAACCCTGCATTAGGAAAAGTTGTATGCCAAATTCAAAAAATGTGAATTTTGGCTTAACCGAGTGGGATTTCTAGGCCACACTATTTCAGCACGAGGAATTGAAGTGGATCAATCCAAAGTTGAGGCCATAACAAATTGGCTGAAACCTACAAATGTTGGAGAAGTGCGGAGCTTTCTAGGGTTAGCCGGCTATTATCAGCGATTTATAGAAGGATTCTCCAAGATTGCAGGTCCCATGACACAGTTGACTCGGAAGGGTACTAAGTTCGTATGGTCAGAGAAATGCGAACAAAGTTTTCAAGAGTTAAAAGACAGGCTCGTATCTGCGCCGATTTTGACTATTCCCGATGGTTCAGAAGGGTTTGTGATTTACAGTGATGCATCTAAGCTTGGTTTAGGATGTGTTTTGATGCAACATGGAAAAGTGATAGCTTATGCTTTGAGGCAGTTAAAGCAATACGAACAGAATTATCCCACGCATGACCTTGAACTAGCAGCAGTAGTGCACGCCTTGAAGATTTGGCGCCACTACCTATATGGGAGCAAGTGTGAGATCTACACCGATCATAAGAGTCTCAAATACTTCTTCATCCAAAAGGAGTTGAATATGAGACAGCGACGGTGGTTAGAGTTAGTGAAAGATTACGACTGCACTATCCTGTACCATCCGGGTAAGGCTAATGTAGATGCTGATGCACTGAGTAGAAAGAATATGGAACAGTTGTCAGCACTGTGTACAAGACAGGATCATTTAATAAGATATTTTGAAAACCTGATAATTGAAGTATTAACATCACTAGTAAGGACATCAGCAAAGTTAGCAAGTTTTACTATGAAACCGACACTCAGGGACAGAATAGTAGCCGCTCAGAAAGATGATCCATTTTTGGAAAAGATTAGGGCTGATGTAGGAAATGAGAAGAGGAAGGGATTTGAAATAGCCGAAGACAAAGCCTTGATGTTTAAGGGTCGATTGTGCGTGCCAAAGGATGAAGCATTGAGAAATGAAATTATGACTGAGGCTCACTCAACTCCTTACGCTGCCCACCCAGGTGGAACTAAAATGTATCGAGATTTGCGTAATACATTTTGGTGGAGAAATATGAAAAGGAAGATAGCTCTGTTTGTGTCCAAATGCATGGTTTGCCAACAGGTGAAGGCCGAACATCAAAGGCCGTCAGGACTATTGAACCCCATGGATATACCAGAATGGAAGTGGGAAAAGATTGCAATGGATTTTGTCATTGGATTTCCTAGATCAGTGAAAGGTCATGATGCGATCTGGGTAATTGTGGACCGACTTACAAAATCTGCTCATTTCTTGCCAGTTCGGACAACTTACAGCTTAGAACAGCTTGCACAAATTTATGTCAGGGAGATTATGCGACTTCATGGTGTTCCAGCATCCATCGTATCAGATAGAGACCCGAGGTTTACTTCGAAGTTTTGGATAGGTCTTCAGAAAGCTATGGGTACCAAGTTAACATTTAGTACTGCATATCATCCTCAGACTGACGGACAATCTGAACGAACTATACAAGTTCTTAAGGATATGTTGAGAGCTTGAGTCCTAGATTTGGGTGGTAAATGGGAAGATCATTTGCCGTTGGTTGAATTCGCATACAACAATAGCTTTCAAGCCACTATTAGCATGGCCCCGTATGAGGCTTTGTATGGTAGACGATGTCGTTCGCCATTATACTGGGATGAAGTTGGTGAAAGGAAAATTTTAGGCCCAGAATTGGTCGAGAAGACTGTGGAGGCTATAAATAAAATTAGATCAAGAATTAAGACTGCCTAAGATCGACAAAAGAGTTATGCTGACAAAAGGAGGAAAGAATTGACTTTCGTGATGGGAGAGAAAGTATTTATCAAAGTGGCACCAATGAAGGAAATACTACGATTTGGTAAGAAAGGGAAGCTAAGCCCTAGATTTATCGGTCCATTTGAGATTCTTGAAAAGATTGGGAATGTGGCATATCGATTAGCATTGCCACCCGAGCTTTCAGCAGTGCACAACGTATTTCACATTTTTATGTGGAGAAAGTACATTCCAGATCCTAATCATGTGGTGAATGTTCAATCACTGGATGTCCAAAGTGATATGACTTATGAGGAAGCTCCTGCAGTGATTCTGGAGAGAAAGGACCATGTCTTGAGAAATCGAAAAGTCCCACTAGTCAAAGTCCAGTGGAGTAAACATGGTGAGGATAAGGCTACTTGGGAACGAGAAGAGGACATTTTAGCCAAGTACCCCGATCTCCTTAAAACAAGTAAGTTGAATTTCGAGAACGAAATTATTTTAAGTGGGGAGAGTTGTAGCGACCGGAAAAAAAAAAGTGTTTTGTTCATTTCAAATAAAATTTTCTTATAGGACTCAAATATAATTGGGGTTATATTATTTTGTCGCTA